TAATTTTTTTTTTATTATTCATTGTGTGACAATAAAAAACAAACCGTTTCTGTTAGAAATTTATATTTTGAAATAATTTTACATATTTACCAAACCAAAAGGTAGTTTCTCCATAAATAAAATATATATAAACTAAAAGATGTATATTTGTAGATAACAAAATTTCTTCATAAATAGTTTTAGAAAAAAGATTCTTCATAATCCATTTCTCAAAAAAGAAGTAGTATATTGTTTGGCTATATGTGTTTATAATTTGCTACGGGACAAAAGTCAAAGACCAAGAATGGAAAAGAAGTTAAAGGTCAATCTGAAGAGAGTCTAGAAAGCAAAGACGTGGTGGGTCAGCGTCGAGAAGGGGTCAACCGTCAACACAGTGATATAAATGACGTAAGAGCTTACTGAATCCATCTACAAGCCAGCTCAGCATCATCATATACACACTCAGGACACTTCTAAAATCATTATTGAAGTATTTGACCTCAAAAAATTCATTGAAATATCTGAGTTTATTTAGAAACCGTCAAACTTTCGCTTTCATTCTCTACCTTTGACAAGTTATTTTCTCCTTCATCCATTTCCTTTCATCTTTCTTTTTTTTTATAATTATAAAAAAATATCCCAAGAAATGTCATTTTGCCTCAAATAGTTTTTGAGATTTTTTTTTTTTTTACAAATTTTTGCCTCAAATAGTTTCTCTATTTAATTTGTACATGATAAACTAATAATGATTCTTTATTGTATTACCTTTCACATAAAAATTGTGCTAATTATTATACGTCGAATAAGTAATTTTACAAACATAATTCTTTGCAAATATGATCTCTTTTTTTCATGTGTCGAAAAACTTTTGAAAAGTCGCATACATAGCTGACTAGTGACCATAAATCAATCATACTAATTGAAAACTTAGACTGAAACTAGCTATAACGTGGTTTGAAGTAAGAGACTGTGAATGTTGATGACAAAAAAAAAAGAGTGGTGAGAATGTACATTAAAGCCAATTCAATTTTGTTTTTATGCTATGAAATCTTTATATAGACATAGATCATTATTCATTCATATTGTCAAAATTTATGAGTCCCTAACTTAAAACTAATCAGAATTGAATAGATTGATTCATATCTTCTACTATATAGTATTAGTTTTAGATTTTTATAAAGTGCGATTTTAATAAGCTTAATTAAAATTTCCATCTCACTTCCGATTTGAGATTTCTACCACACTTTTTTCGTTCATTTTGAATTAAATCCCACTAAAAACAACAATATACCATATTTGAATCATCCAAATTATGCCAAACTAGCTCTTATATCATGTTAAGTTCATTGTGTTTTCAATTCATTGAATTTTTTTTTTTGACATTTTTCTCTATATATTCTTATGTTTTAAAAACAGATTTTTCGAGCAAATCTACTGATAATAAAATGTAGTTCTTGTTATATGTGATCCACCATGAACACAAATTGGTAGTTTTAAAAAAAAAATAATAATCTAACCATAGCGTCAAATTTACCACTGTTTGTTTTGCATCACATTGTCATCACACATTCATAATATTACACATGTCTATTGGCGTAACTTTGAAAAATGGTGTTGGATTGATTCGACCGTACATGTATATAAAAAGGCAAAAGATAGATATACTTTTGAGTTTTGAGAGGACGACGATTGATCTAGTCTAGAAAGACAAATTGATCTCTATACACAAATGTGAACTCAATATCGCAAGCGAAAAAATAAGTTAAAGAAAGGCACGTGATTTAATCTAAACCAATCATTTACGTACCTTCACCTAGATTTCGGCTTAATCTCATTAAAACATGTTTAAATTGTAAAACGTTAAACAAAAATAAAGAAAAAGATTCTTATAAAAAAGCGTCACATATGATGAAATGATTGAGTATTTTATAAATATCTTTTAAAAGAAGAACTGTCATGTCAATTAAAAAACCCAATCCAAAAAAAAAAAAGAGAAACGTCCTTTTCAAATGCCCAAAAAAATTATTCTGAGAAAATAAACGCACGTGTTTCCAAAAAACAAAACCCACAAAACGACCCCGTGTTTGAAGAGTGTTCCAGTTGGCAAGCCACGTAAGCAGTTCAAAAAACACGGAACCATATAAATAAGAGCTCTTTCCACTTTCAGTTTCCCAAAAACACAACAGAAAAAATAAAATTCTCCAGGTGCTTCAGAACACACTAAACAGAGTC